GATGAATTATAAAAGCTTTTCAAATATATTAAAAATTGGGTCATGTTTTATCGCGATTACTTCATACATAATACATCGATGAATTAGTAACAAAAATGATGATAAATATTTTGATAAGCTTCGATTTTCTTTATATAAGCAAGAATGACTTTTCTTACTTTCTAAAATCCTTTCGTGAAATCACAAGTCACTTTTTTCAATTTAAGCCATCGGTTCGAAAATGTCCGTCAGGGATTCAAGTCCACAACGTGAAACTTCAGGTTCTCAATTTACGGATACGGCTAAAGATTATGGCTCAAAAGCCTACGAAACAGCTACAAGAATCGGTTACAGCTATTGGGAAATTTCTCGTCACTACATAGGTCCAGTTTTACAACCGATGATAAATTCTACTAAATACTTGTGGGCAAATCTTCCACCAGTACGCTGGCTAGTATATACTGTAGGCGCGTTTAACTGTATTCCGATTGCTTTGTTTGTTGCTTGGGTAGTCTTGACTTTTGGATTTGTCTCGGCTTTGGCGGGCGTTGGAATTGTAATCGCTCAAGGATTCTTCACGTTCTTGGGCCTGACCGTCTTTCTACCAGTTGCTGGTATTTTGATCACAATTGCTTTTGTTGGAGCATGTTTTGCAACTCTTGCATGGGCTGGGTTTGAGACTGCAAGTTTTGGGTTGTCTCGATTAGGACTAGTTAATAATAGAAATTTACTTGGATATGACCAAGTTAAAGCGATCAGCAGTCGCGGAGCTGTCGATAATCAGAGTGAAAATCAGTGAAATATATGTGGTGGAGAGTAAATTGAATGGTTGCTTTTTAAAAAAATTTTCTGCAAAATTTTATCTTAAATGTATTATTACGCTTTAATACAATAAATTTAGTTATCATGAGAGCGTCTCTGAAGATTACTCTGTATATCGATATTACATTCTTTATTTATTTACTACACTCGAATTCGTTTTCATAAAGTACTTTGCAGATCGCAAAGCTGCAATCATTAGTGTAATTTATCCAAAGAAGTCCAGCTATACATACCGCAAAAACTATTTCGACATTGATTTTTGATATGAAACCGCTGAGTTACCAATGCCGAAATAGTTTTTGCGGTGTGTATAGGTCCAACTAACTATTTTGCTATATTCTAATACAAGTTTTCTAAAAGTTTATTTTCAATCTGCATCTGATTCAACAATACTAATTTTTTAATTTTATATTGACAATTATTATTCATCGTCATGTCGATGCATCGCCAGAGGTGTACGATCGATTAGATTTAAAAAAATTTTTTTCTATATGTATATATTTTTATTTTTTAAATATGATATATTTTTCCTTTTTTTTTGGTCCCATTCTTTGGAGCGCCTTGCGTCGTTCTTCAGTAATTCTTTTTGGCGTTTTTTAAAATTTACCCTGTGATACTGGTGATTTAAACCACATGATTTTAGCGCACAGAAGTAATCGTTAGCGTTAGGTGCTACGCTAAATTACTTTTTTAGGAAATTTTGTATGAATTATACAGGGATGCAACTAATTATTCAGAATCTACTGTTGTACTTTTTTTCTAACCGTCTTAATGATCTAAGGGCACATGTAACAACAAGGACATGTTAATGAGTATGATATTATGTAAAGCGAATAATATAAAAAAGGTTAGATATTATATAAGAGCAAAGAAATTGTCAGATTCAGGAATTATATATATGTCCAAATTTTAGTACGATAAATACATTTTATTATTCAAAAAATGTCATATTACTTCACCACTATTTACTCAATCGCCCGTTTTTTTCTACACATTCTCAGCTTTCAGGCGTGAAAACAGAAGTTACAGTATCATTATCACTTATTTTTGTTTCTTCTAGTAACTGTCTTCGGTTTACCATGTCATTGACCATACTAATTATTTGAATACTTTTAATAATTAGACTATTTATAAAATTTAAATGTTCGCACAGATTTATAACACTATCAGTCGATTTACGAAGATCGCACATTATGATCGGTAACTTGACCGTTAGATATGGTACCATTTTTCGAAACGGTCCACAGCTTCGGTCCATAATATAGACGTTCATTTTCGTATCTAGTTATAGAAAATGATTAATGTAATATAATATACAACATGCAGTAAATATAAATGATAATTACCATAAAAATGGACTAAAATGATTTTTAAGTCATCTAATAGTTTAATTATTTGTTCGTTTTCCTGAAATTTCTTTACAAAAAAATAAAAATGATTTAATGCATCATTTCCAAACTTTGCCAACTTAGTAAAATCCTCCCCGACGTGGTTTTCATTATCTAATGAAAGCGGACTATATGATATCTCAACAAAAAAAATATTATAGTTGTGATCGTAGAAATCATTTCTAACGTAAGAGAACATGTCCGGATATTGAATAGGACCATCGCCTTTAATCTCTCTAAATTTGGTCAATTGACATGGTGAGCCGTCCCATCGCATTTCGACATTTGTGTTTAAAAAAACAAATTCGATTAAACTATTCACAAAATTATATGAATAAGTCCTTTCATTGATCGCTGGATCCCGATTTTTGTATGACAATTTCTTCCAAATTTTTTTTCTACAAAAAAAAATTATATTTATAATATGTAACGACACAGTAACTTAAATACTAAATTCCTAAATCCTTTTATCAGAAGTTAATTCGATTTTTGTCGGTATATCTGATGTTAATTGGCGTATTAACTGTTTTTTTTCTAGTATGTTGTAAAGTTTGCTTTGATTTGTTCTTAACGATCCTTCGAACAGAATACCACTCGAAAGAAGATCATCCGGTTTTAAATCCGCCTTCCGAATATTTTTGCAAATCTCTTTCGCTATGTCGGGCATATCCTCTAAGCCACCCATTTTAGCTGAATTTTTTAAAGGATTGCAGTTACTCAATTTCTATCGGCTAATCTTAATAAAATTATTTTCAATTTAATTACCGGTATATTTAGCAATTTTAAAAGGGGTTGCTTATTTTATTTTATTTTTTTAGTATATATTTTAATATTTCAAATTGAGGTATTACTTATTTTCGAAGATGGCTTATATTCAGGACTTGATGGTAATCGGTACTGCGAAAGATAATTGTTAAGACTTTTTATTAATAATATATGATTCTTATATATGATAAGAGCAATACGTATGAATTTATTTAAAAAATACATAGTCTATTTAAATAAAAAAAAACATAAGCTCTAAGTAAATGGTGGTTTTGAAATTTTGTTTTTATATCTTCTACGTAATTCTTGTATGTAGCGTAATAAAATAGAGTTTTGTATGAAGGTACTAGAAAGAAAAAAAAAAGGACAAAAAACCAATATAAAATCATTTAAATGCTAATATTTTTAGTTTTAATACCTTTCGCTCATTTTTGCCAATTTCTACTCATTTCATCTAAAACTCATCTAGAAATCGCAGATTCAAAGGAGATAATAGTTTATAAATCTTATTTGAAAATATTACCAGTAAAGTCATTCGATCCGAAAACCGAATCGAATCTAAGTTAGGATCCGAAAATGTATCACGAAGATTTGGATTCGATTTGAATCCGTGGAAAATCTTAACGATATCGATAAGTCGATAATGCCTTGATAAAAAAAATAGAAAGAGTGAGAAATGCAATAATCATCGTAACGTACGGGCTTTAATAAAGATTATAAAAAAAAAAAAAAGATCGTTCACGTTAGAAGCTTGATTAAAGTTTACTGGAGGATTTTTATAAAAAACGCTCACAAGAATACAATCAATGATCGATATAACGGAATTTTGAGTCTATTAATAAAAATTTTGAAAAATCCGTTATATGGTTTACTAATAGGCATATAATGAGTTTATAAAACTTAAAATTTGTTATATACATGTTCGTTATATTCATAGTTAACTGTAATCAAGAAATTGCTCTTAATGTTAGATTAGCGTTAGTGGATTTCGGTAGTAATAACGATCTAGTTCGAATTCGCATGGTTTGATGAATTATGAATTCAAATCAATCTGTGGATCAAATCTGAATCAGAATCCGAATTTCGAATCCATTTTGCGAAAATACATACTAAAATTCAGGCCAAATTCGAAATAAGAGAGTGAAAACCTGAAACTTATCATAGTAAATCATTATATGCAAGTTGCAGGTTTTCACTCTCACTCACTTATAACGCTCATGGGCATTATTACGCGAAAATACAGTATTTATCTTTATCAAACTATAAAGTTCTCTTGAAAATCAAAAGTCCAAAATTTTAATGTCTTTTTGTTGAAAAGAATTATATATATTAAATGTATTATTAGATATGAACTAATATTTGGTCAAAAAAATTTTGGCCAGAGTTGTTAATTCCAAATTATTTATATAGATGCAGACATTGTTACGCAACAAAGTTTCTTTCGCTTGTGTAACATATATTTTTGCGTGTAACAATTTAATAGTTTATGCGAAGTATAAAACATACTTTAATTAGTCTTTAAATAGCCTATAGCTTATTTTAGAGTTTATTCATAGATATATATAGAACGGTATGTATTTTAGTTCTTCAGTCTGGTAATTAGTGAGTTCTAGGATTTTAGGGATTTAGTAGATTTGTATTTTGGGTTTTAGTGC